GACAGCAAGCGAAACACTTCTACAAAGGTGCTCTCAGGTAACGATCCAACCACGACTTCAAACCTGGGATCGCGTAATGCGTTCATGACCAGGTCCGGTTGACCATCTCGAACAATCGAGAAGAATTCATCTTCGAGCTCTTTTGGCACTGTCTTCTGTGCTTCAGCATGGTCACCCGGTGACACGCTGACGGTGCTCAGCGTAGATCTGATTGCATGGAAGTGAGACAATAGCGCTGCATTCTCCCGGTGATAACCTGGAGTTCTTTGATGAGTCTGATGGTGATCGAGATGCTGCTCCAGATGTTCTGGATACTCAGGATCGATGAATGAATCCGGATGGCTTGTCAGGGACCGTGTCTGGCAAAGCGTGGGCCTGGGAGCGGAGCCCGTCAGTCGGGAGGACCCATAAGAGCGCCCGTAGCGGCCGATAATGGATCGAAACATGAAGAGCAGACCACGTGAGAGGGTATAGTTCGCTGATATCAAGGCGCTTTCATGGGGCCCTGATTTTGCAGCAATTTATTCTGATGAAAATGGAAGATTTTAGAGAAGACGAGAGATGAAGGACAAAAGAATGTTAAAAAAGGACACTCTCGAAGTCGCGACTATGCAGGGCGTTCTGTGCAATGTGAGGGGAAATGCACGGGGTAAGGCCTCAAGGCACTCCGTCTCCTCTTCTGGTTGGTCGCTGCACTCTTGGCGCAGAATCCCTGCCATTGTCTGTGCCCGCGGATTTTACTCTCAGGCGTATTCTACTCCCGAATTGTCGTCCACAACCATCGCCAATTACAAGCTAGCCTCTTTGTGGTGGTAGCTTTTATCGGTCTTACCTAGCTGTCTAGACATGGCCGACACTGAGGATACTGGCGCTGGATCTGTCTCCGAACCTTTGGATCTGGTCCGCCTCTCGCTCGATGAGATCGTTTTCGTGAAGCTCCGCGGCGATCGCGAGCTCAAGGGTCGTCTACACGTGAGTTGATCTGAGTGCGGGTCGCGCTTTTTGCGCAATGCTGGATCTGACATGGTATTCTTGCAGGCGTACGATAGCCACTGCAATCTTGTGCTGGGTGATGTCGAGGAGACCATTTACGTGGTGGAGGAAGATGAGAATGAAGAGGAGACCATCCGAGTATGACCACCCATCGCTGAGATCGCGGTCAATCGGTCATGGACATGAGCTAACATGTCGGTCGCCGAATACAGACAATAAAGAAGCAAGAGGAGATGCTCTTTGTACGAGGTGAGCTCGAAATGAAACCTTGAGTCTCGATATTCGACCGCCATTGACCCAGAACTTTTCTACGCAGGCGACTCGGTTGTCTTGATCTCTCCACAGGCGTGATATAGCGATACATCAGATAGGAGGTTTAGGGACGACACGCAGTTCACCTGATGGAATATAAAGCGGTATAGGGCAATGTAGACCCCGGCTGCTATATTCTGGGTTGCGACTACAGACACGGAACCAGACGATGGCCATTAGGTATCTCTTCGATATTCTCTGCAAACGAACAGAGCAATTGAACCATTCATCACGGAGTGAAAAGTCGGAAATATAATGGCACAATATGTACAGGGACTCATGTCATAGCCTTAACGAAGAGCCTCATGAAAGTAGCGGTCGCTACATCACTTGAATCTCTGGAAATAGATTTCGATCCACAAATAATATGGCTAGATGAATCAAATAGAAAATATGCCTTATGACACAGCCTTCATGTGGTGCAGCGCCGTGACTCAGTCGAAGGACTCCTCGTGGTCCCCGAGGCGGCGATGACTCGCTATCGATAAAGCTTCCCCAGTTCCCGCAACTGAGCGCTTCTTTCCACCTGCCTGACTCAACCCACCCTGCTGTCTTGATTCCTGACACCTCTTGATCCTATATATGATTAATTGCTTGCGACTGATCTTTGTTAAGTCCTGGTGAAGTCCTCACACGCTGCCTGCCTCGAACACTCATAGTGGAATTATGATAATACGAATACGTGTCTGAATGCGCCACAGGCGACTTCATCTTTTCCCCGATTGAACAAGTACAGCTTCCATAATTCTCCATTAGACTCCCATTTTTCTATTTGCTCTGTGCTTTGATCTTTTCTTTTCTTTTTGAATCCGGCCATGCCACAGGGTGCCAAACTCTCTCTCGAGGAGCGGCGGAGAGGCGAGATAGTATGATACCCTTGTCATCTTGCGACGAAACTCGTTGAATTCCGGCTAACTGTGCGCCGTCAAGGCCCTTAGCGAATTTGCAGAATATGCAGAGAAGCAGCAGTCGCATCGCTCCGGCCAGGTGGCCCCGAGCGATAGCGGCTACTCGACCGCGAGCGTGGCCCAAGCCACCGAGGACCACGCGGAACTGGATATCCTTGACCAACTCACGCTATCCGATACACCGAAGACGGCCAAGTTGAAAGACCTGCTGCTCGGTACGGGTGACGAAGCAGAAGATAGTCTGCAGCTGCTGAGCAGTATCCTGCAGGCCCGGATTGATGAGGGCCATGGGGAGACTATCTTCGACTTGGGACTCGAGGATGGTGGCGACTCCATGGGCTTTGACCTTGGGCAGTGGAATACGGCCCTGCAGCGTCTGCGAGAGGCGGCAGACTCCCTCCCGGCGCATTGTCGAATCCTGCTAACCCACAATGTGGGAGGCCCGGAGGAGTCGCAAACCAAGAATGACCGGATCAAGGGTGCTTGGGGCAAGGTCTTGATCCGCCAGCCTGCGGATACTGTGGAGGAGATGGCTGAGATTAGAATAGCGGTTGTTGGGAACGTTGACGCCGGGAAGAGTACTATGCTCGGGGTCCTTGTCAAGGGGAGTCTCGATGACGGACGAGGCAGGGCGCGAATCAATCTCTTCCGTCATAAGCATGAGGTCGAGAGCGGTCGGACCAGCTCCGTCGGACTGGAGATCATGGGCTTTGATAGCCACGGCGAGATTGTCGGCAGCTCGCAGGGTCGCAAACTTTCTTGGGAAGAGATCGGAAAGCGATCTGCGAAGGTGATCTCTTTCTCCGATCTCGCTGGTCATGAGCGCTACCTAAGAACTACTGTCTTTGGCATGTTGAGCAGCAGCCCCAACTACTGTCTACTGATGGTTGCAGCCAACAACGGTCTGATTGGTATGAGTAAAGAGCATCTGGGTATTGCCTTGGCTCTGAACGTGCCGGTCATGGTGATTATCACCAAGATCGATATCTGCCCTCCACAGATCCTGCAGGAGACCGTCTCTCAGCTGACCAAGATTCTCAAGTCCCCCGGCGCTCGGAAGATTCCCATTTTCGTGAAGGATATGGAGGAGACCATCAACACCGCAACTCAATTCGTCAGTCAGCGCATTTGCCCCATCTTCCAAGTGTCCAATGTCACCGGTGAGAATCTGGAACTGGTGCGGACTTTCCTGAACATTCTTCCTCACCGGGGCCAATATAACACCGAAGCGCCGTTTGAATTCCTGATTAATGATACCTTCTCGGTTCCTCACGTCGGAACGGTGGTGTCTGGGGTGGCTAAGTCCGGGGTGATTCACGCTGGCGATTCGGTGCTTGTGGGCCCCGATTCTCTCGGTCAATTCACCACTACTACAATCAAGTCGATTGAGCGCAAGCGGATCCAGGTGAATGCTTGCTTTGCGGGACAGTCTGGCTCGTTTGCTCTCAAGCGTGTTCGTAGGAAAGAAGTCCGTAAGGGAATGGTGGTTCTCAAGAAACTCGAACAGCCTCCCAAGGTCTACCGAGAATTTGTCGCTGAGGGTACGTTCTATTACCTGGCTATTCACGTACGATTTCTCCTTCGCTGACTTGGAAAAAGTTCTCATTCTTTCCCACGCTACGACAATCAAACCGAGGTATCAAGCAATGCTACACGTCGGCGCAGTGAGTCAGACTTGCTCGGTCATCGACATTGACCGCCCCTTCATTCGAACCGGTGATCGAGCTCTTGTTGCCTTCCGATTCATCCAACGTCCGGAATTCTTGGCCCCTGGCGATCGAGTCCTGTTCCKGGAGGGTAAAACCAAGGGCTTGGGGATCGTCAAGAGTGTCGGATACGACCCGGATCATCCCCTCAACCCCGAAGCTAAGACCAAGTGATGCATCATTGCTTGGAGATACGTGTGAACTTGGTTCTGTCTTTATTGCTATTGTTATTGATCGGTTTTATGCTATTTTGGTTTCATTCTTGCGTCGCTGCAAGCAGCCGTGCTCTTTGCTCGGGCCTACTTTATGAATGCATGTTGTTTTCCTTATGAACCATACATGGGAAAAGGCGCTTACTCAGGATAGGCTGCTGGGTATCCTTCCTGCTGGGTTGAATTTATCGATAGTCGTCATACATTTACTGTCCATACGGTTCCTCTCTATTCACCCCAGTACGGTTATCCTATAAATGACGTTGAGTGCAGGCATTAGTACCGGTATGATTAGACCCCATGCAAGGAGATTGCAGCGACATTCATATCTAAGCCTATCGTGTATCACAGCGTTATTAACCCTCCACCCTTGGCTGCTCTCGTTGTCCTGTTTGACCGTTTGCTGCAGTAGTGTCGATATCACGTGGCTATGACGTCAAGCATCCCAGCTCCAGAGAGCTATGATGCCATTCCCCCAGCTGATCGTCGACGTGTCTCTGGCAGCCAGCCGCAAAGAATCAGTCAATAGCTTAGTCTAGTCTAATTGATATCATCGATAAAACCAATCGCAGCAGGACGGCTATGACAGACCTGCCACTTAGTGATCACTGTACCTTGCAAACAGCCACCAGCTCCACTGACGTAGACCGTCTATTCTTGCCTCCCAAATCTGTTAATAAGGTTATGCTCTATTAAAGCCATCCACCTTCGACCGATACTGGACCAGCTTCTATGTTTAAGCGTCTACCACTCTTACCCAGTCTTGGCATTGCTTGAGAGATAACCTATCCACGTTGAACGCTACCGACCTCGCCACTGATAGATAAACTGCTTGCTGTACATCGTCCTATCATCCCAATTCGCGAAAGATGGAGTCTGTACAGAAGGCCGTACGCGATGCCGCAGACGGCTTGCGAAACCTCGCTTTCGGCCCACAGGAAGTCACAGAATCTGCTGCTCAGCATGGCGAGGAGCCCGTCTCCGGCATACAGGGTCGAGGAACGGCGACTGATCCATACGACGCTGGGAACCGAGATGGTAAGTTCCGAGTACCTTCATGACGACATGGTTTCGTCGAGTGGTAGGGTATGCTATGGGTAGAGACTCAGCGGCTAACACTCAGCACACAGAACAACCAGGCGCCCCTCAGACTCAAGATAATACCGCCGTCATCCCCGAGCCACTCGAATCCATTGCCCCCATCGAAGTCAAGCCCACGGACGTCAGTTCCGCCCACAGCACCTCGGACCAGGGAGCCTGGGCCGGAGCCGGCGCAGGGACCACTACCGCTCTCCCTGTAGCTCCGCAGGAATCCCCTGCACCTGCACAGGAGAAATCGCAATCTACAGCCCCCGACACCAACCTAGGATCCGGACCCGGCAACCCAGCCGTGGAGGAACCCTCGCCCGCACAAGAGCAGACGAATCCCACCGCGAGCTCGGCCGACACGACCACCAGCAGCACCAGCAACACAGCAAGCTCAAGCAGCAACAAGGCACCCAGTCGCTCTGAACCCGAGAAACCTGCCCCCGAACAACGATCTCAGACTATGCCCGACAGCGACAGCAGCTCGCAGAAGAAGGAGGACGACGGCGGCGTACCTGGCGGGGTTGAGCGCGCCCCGCCTACTACGACCCAGAATGTGAGCGTCGAGGCGTTGAAGGGACCGCAGGGTCCTGCGCCTCGGGATGCGTATGAGTTTGAGAAGGAGATGGACGGACAGCAGTCGAAGACGAAGACTGGTTAGTATTTGCCTTTCATGTGTTTGTGCATGCGTGAGGTGTGGACGGTAGCTAAGCTAACGGGTTCACAGACCAAGGTACTGACGAAAAGAGCGATTCGGGGAGTCACCATCATAAGATGGGACATGTGAAGGAGCGGCTGGGGAAGGTGTTCAAGCATGGCAATCATTGAGATCGGGGAGACTGAGTGATTGGAAGTTCGGTTGGGTTTTATTTATGAGTAGCACTTCGGCTCAATGTATCGCCCTCGAGATCGTCATCTACTATTCTGAATGTCATTTATGTGCAAATACTGCTCGCTGTACTTCGTAAGCCTTCGTAACAAGTCTCGAGGAGCAACATCAAGGGGTATATAATAGCTCCATGTACTCCGCACTTTGCCATGGTATCCAACAATGACTACTCAAACAACAGCTTCAACTCCTCAATCCTCTCTTTCCTCTTCTCATCCTCCGATCCATCACCACCAACCCGCAAGCCCAACGACCCGGCAATATTCATCTTGCGCTCCTGCACCCGTAACATCCGCCCCTCGATCGAGTCCTTGACGATAAACCGCGTCACAGAGACATCACGCAGCTGTCCCATGCGATGTACACGATCAATCGCTTGAGCCTCAATCGCAAAGCTCCACCACGGATCCATCATGAAGACATTACTGGCAGCTGTGAGATTGAGGCCGACGCCACCGGCGCGCAAGCTGATCAGTAGCACTGTGGGGCTTTTGCTTGACGACTGTCCGCTCTTGGATGAGATTCTCAACCGCGGCGTGTCGGGCCCTTCGTCCTCGTCGATTTCCTCCTGGTCGAAGGTCTCTGTCCTGTTAAACTCCGCGAGGACCTCGGCTCGGGCCTTTTGCGGCATTGTCCCGTCTAGGCGAACGTATGAGATGCCGGCTTTGATGAGCTGCGGGCCAATCAGGTCGAGGAAGCTGGTGAACTGAGAGAAGACCACGGATTTTGTGTTTGCAGGGACGCGGCTGAGGTGGTTAATCAGGGCGTGGATCTTAGCGGAGGTGTGTGCTGACGGTGAGAGAGGATGGATGCGTCGAAGGGAGATGCGCGGCGCTGGGTGCGGACTGGAAGCAGAGGTGCTGCTGTAGAGATCGCTCTCTGTAGGGGTCGAACTAGGCGATTGGTGACGGATCACTTCGAATATGTCTCGTGAGGTAACTGGCGCTCGACATGAAAAGCACCTAGGCGGCACGCCCTTGTCTGTTTGGTGGCGTATATAGTCCTCCAAGCATTTCTTACATGCACTGTGCCAACAGGCTGTGACAGCGGGATCGATCATGGGTTCTTCCGAGCAAATAGGACATTCTCCGCTGGATTCGGTTTGAATCTGCCTCAGGGCATGGGTGGTGAATTTGGCGCCCGGGTCCTGTGCCTCGGCCGAATCCGCGTTTTCCATGCTGGCTGAGAATCGGTCTATAAGCTCTTGCAGATCCATGTCGTCTTTCAGCTCATTAGCAGCATCAGCGGCGACAGCTGCATCTTCCTCATCTGCTACAATGGTCTTGTTGCGCGTGAGGATAGGATGGCAGCAAGTCTGTCGGAGACGGAGGATCTGAGCAAAAATTGTCGAGAATGACTTCAGGAGCGTACCGGCTTCGATGTTGTCATTGAAAGTCCGTTTGGCTCTGGTAAAAATATAGTCGTAGATTTCACGTTCTTGCTCAGAAAGGTCTACTTCAACAATGTCAATGGTCCGTCGTGGAAGTGGCACCAAAGGCTCTCCCTCGGGTGTTTTCATTGTCTTGGTTCGACGGAGAACCAAAGGCTCGAGGACTGTCTGCACGACATTGAGAGCTCGAACGTAGTCCTTGGATTCAAAGGGTACGGTGATGAATGTCTTCCAGAACGAAAAGTTGTTCCAGGGCTCAACTTGTAGAAATCGCACCAAGCTGAAGAGGTCCTCAAGGCGGTTCACAATAGGCGTTCCCGTGAGCACCCATCGATGTGTCGCTTTTAGCTCGTAACAAGCTCTTGCAGTCTTTGAGCGTCGATTCTTGATGACGTGGGCTTCATCGAGGATGACGCGGAAGAAGTCCACAGAAAACAAGCCACCTTGAGTACTCGAATTGAACATTGCGAGCTGACGGGACTCCGACAGTACGACGCCATAACTCGTGATTATAATGTTAGGCGCAGCGGGATTGCCAGCAGAACAGAGCTCTTGCAGATTGACGGATTTGTCGGCGCCATAATACATCAGCACCTTCATCGTTCCTGGTTCCGAGGCCTTCATCGCCTCGCTTTCCCACTGGGACAGGAGAGAGGTTGGAGCCACGACAAGGGTCGTGTTGGGAGCAGGAAGAACCGCGCTGGAAGAGGTAGGCATCCTTACCAGTTCAGTGGAAGAGCTTGGACCTTCCCGGCTCGGAGACACAATTCGATGCGAGTGTATGAGACTCAGCATTTCAATGGTTTTGCCTAAGCCCATCTCGTCGGCCAGGATACCACCCAGACAATGCTGTTCTTGTGCGGGAAAGTCAAGACTAAGATCTCCTGAGTACGGATTAACGTAGAAATGTGCCTGCCCCTCGACTGCTGGCAAATCTTTGTCATCAACGTCTTTCGTTGGCCACGTGTATTCCTCCCACAGCGGGTGCATTGACGATTCTCTGCCAGACTTTTTATCTTTCTCTTTCGCCAGCATCCAGTGAAGAGCTTGCCTCTGGTACTTGCGCAGGTTCAGCACAAAGCTTGACGGGGGTTGAGCCTCTGGCATGTTGAAATCGAAGGACTGCGCCTTCTTGTATAGAGTATCGAGCTGATCTTCTTCTAGCTCCGGGGATTCTTCCTCTTCGGACGATTCGTTGGATTTGCCTTCTTTCTTGGTCTTGTCGTATTGTTCTGCAATCTCTGCGGCACGGAGCAGCCCTTCCTTTTTGTGCTTTTTGGTCATGTCGTTGACAGTGGTCGGTTGTAGACCGATTTCATCAAAGAGCTTCACAAGCGCCACCTGACGAAGTCGAAGTTGTTTCTCTTCAGCGCTTTCTTGCTCTTCAAATAATGCGGTTGACCGGTTGTCGTCGCTCATATTCCAAAGGTTCCGAGGCAGAAACGCCTCTTTACGCAGATAGCACCATAATTGCAGATATATTGTATCGTTGACCCGGACCCTGTCAGGCGCGAAAACGCAAATACCTTCAAATTTGCAGATCTTCTGATCGATCAAAGTTGAAACCCATTCGGCTGTCTCTCGAGGTAACCTCCCAATTTCTTGTCCAGATTTGTTCGTGAATCGAGTGAGGACATCGCCCTTCTGATTGGTGATGAGCTTGCCTCCTCGGCTACGCTTTGCTATCGGCTGAGACCTCGCCCGTTCAACATTGACATGCTCCCCGTGTTTGAGTAGACCAACGCCGCTTCTAGTAGCCCAAGCTCCGACACCGAAAGCACCAACGTATCTCGATGATTGCAGAAGGCTGCGGCGTGTTGCGGCTTGGCCCGGTTTCTTATTAATGGTCGTATCGACTGTCTGGGGAATCGGTTCGTTGACTGGGGTGCGAGGGGTGTAGAGTGTTTGTTGGCGAGAGGCCAGAGGAGCCTGACTTGGCAGACTGGTGTTCGACGACTTCCATGACCCGTCGAAGTAGATGTTGACTGCTCGCTCCAGATCATCGCCAGAGGCTTTGCGAATGTTCTCCACTGATTCCGCGGAAAGATGTTCTCCAATGATGCTAGCGAAGGTTTCTGTGTCAAATCCACCTGCACTCTGAAATGCTTGCGTTTCGGGAACCGTCCTCTGTTGACTTGCTTGTTGCCCGTATCCGTTCGTCAGACTCTGGTCAATTGGTTGATCTTGCTGAGCATGTATTGAAGTAGAGTGGTTGAAGATTTCATGATCAACGCTTTGGTTCTCATGGTCATCGTCTTCCTCGGGCAAGTTATCCTTCTGATCTTCGGTTCTTAATTCTGGCCATTCTCCACGAGACTCCTTGAGGCTCTGAAACGAGTGGACGCCGTTGAGCTGCTGCCGTTGAACATCACTTCCCTCTGGTCCAGCAGAGGAAGTCGCAGACGCGTCGAGGTTTGGAGCAATGGGTGCAGCTTCGTTAGAAGGGGACGGGTGACTCTCCTCTTCATCAACAAAAAAGCGTCTTTTCTTTAGAGGCCGTTCATTCAGATCCTCAAAAACCATTTTATAAGTCTGACCTCGAATCAGATGGCCGAGTTATGATGAGGGGATGTTGGAGATCGAGCCTGATCTTTAATGGACGGGAGACGCGCCGAGACCGAAAGAGACGCGATTGACCGCTGCACTTCGGGCCGACGTCATTCTTTAATAAATTTATCGGCGGCATCAATTGTCACATTTCCGTCGGGACGACAAGCAATTCATCCATATAGATTGTTTTCCTTTTGCTCGGTATGTTGAGAGCTCAGCGGTCTACTGCATCATTGAGATTTTGGTCCGCTGACAAGATATCTAGAAGACCCAACTATGTTCGTCTGAAGCAGAAACACCTTGGCTTGAAAACCCTCTTATAGAATGTCATTGCTAGAGGAAATTGCCCGTGCATGTCGTGCAGGGACGCGATCATGTCGCATTTCACAGATTAGAGTACAACCACAGCAACGAAGGCATCTCACTCGATCAGCACCAGCCGCCAGTCCGGTCTCCGGTGCAGCTGAAGCAGAAGTCCAAGCTGCGCGGAAATACTGCTCGGATCTCCTTTTGTACGAGAGTCACTTTCTTCTTTCTCGAGGTGAATCAAAACTCACACGGAACGTATAGGAAATATGACCGGCCCTCCTACACCCTCAGCACGTTCATCCCGCAGAAATCGCAAACGTTCTACCTCGCCCTCCGAGCCCTCAATGTCACCCTCTCCATGATCCCCGAGACCACCTCCTCTTACACAATTGGGTTGATGCGACTGCAATTCTGGCGCGACGCCGTCACCAAGGTCCTCGCCGGCTCACCCCCCAAGGAACCCATCGCCATCCTCTTGGCGTCCGCAATATCGGACCTCAACGAGCGCACACAAGGCCGAGCCCACATCAGCAAAGCCTGGCTGAACAAGATGATCAATGCGCGCGAGCAAACCCTCACAAACGACCCGTATCCCACCATCGCCGCGCTGGAGACCTACGCCGAAAACACCTATTCGACCTTGCTCTACCTGACTCTGTCCTCGCTGCCCATGACGTCCATCACGGCCGACCACGTCGCATCGCACATCGGAAAAGCAGCCGGTATCGCCGCGGTCCTCCGCGGCCTGCCACTGGTTGCGTTCCCGCCTCCCCAGGCCCAGTCGCCCACGCAGACGGCCTCGGGCAACTTCGGAGGAGCCAAGCAAGGCGCAGTTATGCTGCCGCTGGACGTCATGGCGCAGGCGGGCGTGAAAGAGGAAGATGTCTTCCGGATGGGCGGCGAGGCACCGGGACTACGTGATGCCGTCTTCACAGTTGCGACGCGGGCAAGCGATCACCTGATTACCGTGCAGCAGATGCTGAGCAACCTCCGCGCTGGTCAGGATGTAGGGCATGACTTTGAGCATGCGGGTGAGGAGGGGCACGAGTACCTCGCGGGCAGGGGCCAACGGGACGAGTCGCCCTTGGACGAGGTCAATCGGGCCTTTGGTGTTTTCATGCCTGCGGTGAGCACGCGACTTTGGCTGGATAGGTTGGAGAAGGTCGATTTCGATATCTTCCGGCCGGAGCTGCTTCGGTCTGACTGGAGGCTACCCTGGAAGGCTTACTTGGCGTTTAACCGGAAGTCTCTCTGATATGGGTGCTTCTCATTGCGACGACCTGTTTGTACAATTTGTGTACGAATATAAACAAAATATCATTTCACCGTGTATATAGTCTTGTATGTAGTATAGATTGTATCAGCCCATCAAGGACCAGACGAAAGTCTCCATATATACGTCTATGCCAATTTTCACCGTGTAGATAGTCTCGTAGTACTATAGGTTGTATCAGCCCATCAGGGATCAGACAAAAGTCTCCATCTATAGGTCTATGCCCATTGCTGGATATAATCTCAAACCCGTTTCATGGGCTTTCGCTCGCGTCTCTGCTTCCTCGAGCTGATGATCAATCGTCTCTGGGCCAGCAGCACCGCGTAGCGCTGAATCTTGTCCCGCCTGTTGTCAAAGCATTAGCACTATTTCTCTCTCGAGCACGAAGGTTACTTACATCAGAAAAAGAGTCGTTGCGAAGACGAAAGGAACCGCAATCATCCAGAAGTAACTTTTCAGAAGAGGAATTAGTATGCTTTGACACTGACGGAACTGAACGAAACGTACGAATCAGTATGATGGATTGCAGCGAAGTCCTGAAAGTTCATTCCAAAGTAACCCTAGCTTCCAGTTAGTACACAGTGACTTCCTCAAACAGGTGCAAGATTTGACGAACAGTCAAGAATGTCAATGGCAGATAGAGGCATGTCACAAGGCTCAGCTGCTTCATGCTTTCGCTCTGATAGGCTCCTGCAAGCAGTCAGCACACGTAGCTCAACTCGTCCTCGCAAGAATATTACCGATTGTGTTGAATATCAGATCGATCATGTTGTCAGCAGCACGTCTCATTTGGTCGTATGTCTCCACAATAGTTATACAATGATCCAGCGCATCCCCTAGGTACGTATGACACATGTGGCTGATGGAGACACTTGATCCACCCAAGCTCTTCAGATTTGGCGTGGCGACCCCCACCTGGGTCTGAGCGTCTGAGCTGTTGAAACCTGACGTTGAAAGTGGCGTTGTGGTGCCGAGTTGTTTGAGGCCGAAGCCAGGGGCACTGACGGGCTCTGAGCGATGGTCACGGAGCGCGTTGATGACCGTCACAATCGGCTGCATGGAGCTTCGCAAAACAGCAATCTCAGACGTTAGTATATACAACCTTTTGGATTGATCCACGTCGGGATCTGTGAGGACTTCGAGTTCCAGGTCGCCGATTGCGTCTTGATAGGCGCTCGTCACTGGAATAGCCAGGTCAATTATGGCGTCTAATATAGCTTGCAAGAGCATGCTGGCATCGCAGGATTGGCGCAAAATCGTCTCCGGCGAACTAAGGCGACGAACAATAGGCGCCTCAATGTCGTCGGCACTTGTCTCGAAGAAGGAGGTGACCGTATTATCTGCATGCAAGAATAGCGAAACCTGTTCGAGTGTGACACTCAGACCCTTCGATGCTAGAACGGCATGGCGTTCCATGAACCCGATCCTGTCCTCGTTTGGCCCCCCGCGGAAGCGCTGAATGCTGCGCGCCGTGAGCCCTGCACTGACACTGTCACCCAAATTGGCCTGGGGTTTTGCCGAGGCTCTCCTCCTCCGCGAAGGGCGAACGCTCGCCCTACGAGCATATCTGTCGTCTGTCTCCTTTGATGACTGAAATGTGAAGAGATCTTTCAATGCGGCCACAACGAGAGATCTTTTGGTTGGCCGCTTCAGTGAATGGGCCTTCCCACTTGCTGTCGAAGTTTTGCGGTCGCGTGCGAATGAGCTCCGTCCGTCTTCTTGTTCCTCTTCAGAGTCACTGCTAGACTCCTCCCTGAGCTTTACCAGCTTCTGCAAGGTAAGCACGATATAAGCGTGATCCGAATACCAGTCCGCCTTCGTACGGTTTGTCGTGTTGATCATGTCCTCAATTGCAAGTCTGTGGACACCCTTATGCTTTCCCAAAATCCTGATGACATCCCAACTCAGCCCATTGACATTGATCCACCTGCATTGGACCCAAGGCTCCCTTTCTCGCTCGAGGAACGCTTCCAGTGTGTCATTGTCCAGCTCGTACTGCCGCATTTCATGTTGCGAAAAGTCCACCACGATTATCTCGCACCTTCTGTGTAATTCAGCAGGTATATGGGGTGCCCAATCGGCGCCATAGGCGGGAGGTGGTTTGTTCGGGTCAATGCCTGGCTCTGTTCCTGGTTGCCAGTTGGGGTCATGAGCAACACTGTCGGGATGATAAGAGCGGGCTGTGTTGGAGCGTCGCACGCGATGTTTGACCGTATCCTGCGATGTGATCCGAGCCGCAGTAGTGAATGTTCCAGGCGAATGAGGAGCCGCTCCCTTGGCGGGCGTGGAAAAGGGTGATGGCGGTGAGTTATATGCCCGCGGATTTGCCTCGATGTCTCTTTCATCGAAAGCGACAGGTGGCAGCTCAATGGTCTGCGCATGATCGAGTGAGTGAATGCTCATGGTGATGAACAATTATGATGCTTTGTGCGCGAGCTAGAGACTTTCAACTCAGACCATCCTTGTCGCATGAAGCTGGACAAGCCTTGATCGAACAAAGTTGATTTGGCGAGTGATCGCGCAAGGATATAGAAACAAGGCGCACAATCTAAGAAAAATGATTTTGAAGATATTATGGAAGCAGCTTTCCGTCCGACCTCAGAGCAATGAGAAACTGCGAGCACCTCATCAAGATGCAGGAGGGCCCAAAGGAAGGGTTCATCGCGGGGATTTGGCTTTGTTGAATGCGATTGAATCTGCTTCTGTGGCCGACAAGAGAAGAAGCTCTAGACGGAACTAACAATTCCACAGGTAGGACGATATATATAGGAAGTCGTGGATGGCGAGCTTTGCGCCTGGACGTGTTCCTTGAGTTTTCGAAATAATTGCGGAGTTGGCAATCTCCTTTAAGGTTCGCCGTCTTCGTCTCGTCCACGGATGCGTTGCGGTTAGGGGACAGACTGCGACACTTCCTTTTGGCAACTGGCTAATGATTGGAGCTGCATTAGTACATATCTACCTAGTTAACTGAGGCTGATTCTCACGGTAACAGAACAAAAAGAACTCAGAAGACAGGCCTAGTTTATACCCATGATGCTTAACTGGCTTGTTCCATGTTCATCCAGAACAGGATGTGTTAGTTAATACGTCATCCTGAACACAGGAATGTCAATCCTTTCCTGACTTTGATAGTCGATGATTTTCCACCACTCTACGAGAGGTACGAGGATACGCCGTATGGAACAAGGCTTGGGGACAAACATGGAAATAAGTTATCGAATTGGCAGGTCGTCAGTCCATGAGAATCAAGCTCGCGGCCATCACACTCTGCTCGGTCAATGGAGCACACGGGCTATTAAAATTCTATTATGTCCAGTTGTCAGTAAGGCCCATCGATCAAGATGTCCTAGAAAGTGAAATGATTCAAAATATGCCATAACGCCTGTAAACGTAATCGCTCATCCCAATGCAATCTGGCCCGCTCAAAAGCAACTAGTTTAATCCCTACGCCGGCCCTTAATCCTCATGAATAACTCGAGCCTCGGTGATTGTTATGTGCCTTCCGTTGTCGCCTGGTTTCTCCGTTTTGTAACGAGTTTCAGTTGCAGTGGAACTAAATTCCTTCTCGGTACTGGTGCATCTGTTCGTGCTAAAGGCTTTCGACATACAGGACAAGTACCGCGAGGGCCTTTTCCTGATGCGTCTGACCGCTGCTCTTCGCTAAATTTCAGTGTATCCATTATGCATTTGTGACAGAAGAGATGCCCTGAATCCGTCAATATGGGTCCCTTGTGTTACTCGCTGGAGATTACATACCGCATACAGTGCTGGTGGCATCGACTGGGGTATCCATACACACAGGGCATTTATATGATGTCAGAATAGAACGACCAGCCCCTTGATGCAGAGATTCTTGCGCCCTAACAGCATCTTCTCGCTGCTTTGCCAACGCTTTTGCAAGCGCAGCCGAGCCCTCCACTTCTGTCAAATCAATCTGTTCGATGGGTTCAACGTCTCTGTCGTGAGCTACCGGATTAGATGTGGAGATGGAGGAAGCAGCTGAAGTGTCCGAATGATCTGCTGATTCCCCAATGCCTGCTGTCTCGACATCGCTCACACGGCGGCGCTTTCGCGCAGGCTGGTCTCGATCTGAAGGCTCGACGGAAAAAGAACTGGTGGAAGGACTCCGACGAGCATGGGAGATATCCCTGACGAGTGAAGCCATAGAGGAATGGGAATCGCTAACGAACGCTTATGATTTCTTGCCAGTTCACAAGAAAGGCGACTTTGGAGGGGCAATGAACTGCCGACAGGCTTATCGCGCAATGTCACATGATGATAACAGCCAAGCTATAGGGGCAGGCGGTGAATGTTTGAAGGATCATCTCTAATTCCGATCTCCGACAGGCATGATGACGGGCGACGGGCTTTCCGCGATAGGAAAGTCTGGAATCCCTGTAGAATTGTGTACCAGCACCGTCTCATCTTGGAGCGACTTCTCACTAAACACGCTATTTTTACGCAGCTTTGGCTGCGCGACCCTATATATCATGTCATGGGGGTAATTTTGGCCGAGATTTTATGATCTAGAATGCTTTTAAATAGTGCGATCACTCCTCGTTGCAGGGATGTTCTACGTCCTTGCTCCCAGAGGTTGCGCTCGCCACGCTTCACCCGGCAGCGACCTCTGCTACTGCTGGTTAGATCGTTCATTTCGGAGCCTCCATCCGGAAATGATGTTGAAACACCACGCCGTCGATCGCTTTCAGGTACTTCTACCCTCATTCTGGCGGGCGCAAGCAGAGGGAAAAAGAGAAACACATATACTAATCTTGCAGTCCCTGCATTGCCTAGGTTCAATGAGATTGGAGTTCAACAGCTGAGCGACTATGCCTACTCTCAAATATTTCCGAATCAAGCAAGATCGCCAGATCCGGTCCTGGTTGCACTGTCCAAGGAACACCTTTCTAGGCACGATCTGCTAGGAAAATCTCAGGATGCCGCGGAACCTATCGCATTCGACATGCCCGCCCTCCAGGGACAAACCATGGACGAGCACTTCTTTAAACTGGGAATGGACGCCTCCGAGCCCTACTTGACATACGCGAAAAGCTATACAACTGTTAACTCGCCTCAAAAGCCGCGCGAGTGGGTCAAGCGGAGCGGATGGACCAAATATAACTCTGACGGTTCTTGGGAGCCTGTGGACGCACCAAATGAGTCGATGCTCACCTTTGATACCGAGGTCATGTACAAAGAACACTCGTTTGCTGTTATGGCTTGCGCTGTGAGCCCTACAGCCTGGTATGCATGGCTTTCGCCCTGGCTGCTCGGTGAGTCCGAGAATGAAGTTCAACTCATACCTTTGGGTGATATAAAGCAACCGCGGGTTGTTGTTGGACACAACATCGGGTATGACCGCGCGCGCGTCCTCGAGGAGTATGGAATGGAGCAGACTCGCAACTTCTTCCTTGATACCATGTCGCTTCACGTCGCCGTCAACGGGATGTGCTCGCAGCAGAGACCCACATGGATGCGTCATAAGAAAAACAAGGATCTGCGAGACAAGATTGCAAATGAGAGCAACTCCGTCGAGCTGGCCGCGTTGCTCGAAAGCAAAATGCTGAGCGAAGAAGAGGAGGAATTGTGGGTAGGAAGGAGCTCGGTGAATTCGTTGCGCGACGTAGCCAAGTTTCATTGCGATGTTACAATTGACAAGTCGCAAAGAGACTATTTTGGCGAACTGAACAGGCAGCAGATCCTAGGAAAACTGGAAGAATTGCTGGATTACTGTGCCGCAGACGTCGCCATCACCCATCGTGTGTACAAGAAGGTGTTTCCCAACTTCCTTGAAGTCTGTCCTCATCCTGTCAGCTTCGGAGCTCTCCGCCATCTTTCGTCGGTGATACTGCCTGTCAACGAAACATGGAAAGAGTATCTCACCAACGCGGAAGCAACATATCATCAACGAGTCGACGATGTGCAACGGAGGCTAGTTGAACTGTGCAACGAAGCTCTCAAGGTCAAAGAGAGCCCGGATATCTACATGAATGACCCTTGGCTGCGACAGCTGGACTGGTCTGGCCAAGAAATCAAAATGGTCAAGGGCAAGAAGAAGGGTGATCCTCCGCGACCCGCGGCCAGACAGAAGAAACCGGGCATGCCACAATGGTACAAAGATCTTTTTCCTAAGAGTACAGCGGACATCAGCCTGACTGTGCGCACCCGGATTGCCCCTATATTATTGAAGTTGTCATGGGACGGTTACCCTCTGATATGGTCCGATAAATTCGGATGGACGTTCAAAGTCCCGAAAGACCAGGTCAAAAAATTCGAAAATCAGCCTGTGGTCCTCTGTGATATGAGTGAAGAGACGAACTTGGAGTTGCGCGACGATAGGAAACACGTGTACTTCAAACTCCCTCATAAGGATGGCCCACAGGCACGTTGCGTCAACCCCTTGGCCAAGGGCTATCTGCAATACTTTGAGCGGGGAACGCTTTCATCGCAATACGCTCTCGCCAAAGAAGCTCTGGAAATGAATGCCTCCTGCTCATATTGGATCAGCGCCCGTGACAGAATCATGAGCCAAATGGTTGTCTACGAAGATCAAGTCAAGCAGTCCGGGTTTACAGGTGAAAAGTCAAACCGACTAGGATTTATTCTCCCTCAAATCATACCTATGGGCACGATCACCCGGCGAGCAGTGGAGAATACTTGGCTAACAGCCAGCAATGCCAAGGCAAACCGCGTGGGTTCTGAACTTAAGGCTATGATCAAAGCTCCACGAGGCTATGTCTTCGTTGGTGCAGATGTTGACTCCCAGGAATTGTGGATTGCCAGTCTTGTCGGGGACGCTCAATTCCAACTACATGGAGGCAATGCCATTGGATTCATGACTTTAGAAGGTTCCAAGGCTGCTGGGACTGATATGCATTCGCGCACAGCCCAGATCTTGGGTATTTCGCGTAATGACGCCAAGGTTTTTAACTATGGGCGCATTTACGGTGCTGGGGTCAAGTTCGCTGCCACACTGCTCCGCCAGTTCAATCCGTCCATGTCAGAGAAGGAGACCCAAGAAGTTGCAACCAATCTGTACAGAGAGACCAAGGGCACCCGCACAACTCGTCGTATTCTGAGTGAGAATCCTTTCTGGCGCGGAGGTACTGAATCCTTTGTCTTCAACAAATTGGAGGAATTCGCCGATCAAGAAAGACCGCGTACGCCTGCGCTCGGCGCTGGGATTACTGAGGCACTCATGAGGCGCTTCATCAACAAGGGCAGTTTCATGACGTCTCGAATTAACTGGGCAATCCAGTCATCTGGAGTTGATTATCTCCACCTTTTGATAATATCCATGGATTATCTTATCCGACGATTTAACATAAATGCTCGACTCGCAATCACCGTCCACGACGAAATACGGTACCTTGTCAAGGAAGAGGATAAATATCGAGCTGCTATGGCCCTACAGGTCGCCAATGTTTGGACCCGCGCCATGTTTTCGCAACAAGTTGGCATCGACGATCTTCCTCAGTCTTGTGCCTACTTTTCAGCCGTTGATATCGATCACGTCCTGCGTAAAGAGGTGGACATGGATTGCGTAACTCCTTCTCATCCACAGAAGATTCCACATGGAGAAAGCTTGGACATTGGTCGACTATTGGACAAGGATCAAGAAGCATATTTGGATCCTGCAGTAGTGCCCGTTTTGCCTCCTTCGCCTCAGAAGTACAGTTACACGCCACGAGAGCCTGTGATGGCGGCACTTCAAGCCACCAATAATCCTGCTTTCATCAAAGCTCAGATTACCAAAGACKACAAAGAGCTTCGAGAAATCATCAAGGAGGTGACGAAGACCAAGTCCGCCACCGCTTCTAGCGCACGCTCTGTTCGCAACGGTTCCAAATCGACTAACTTCCCTTCGGCGGAGCCTCAAAAAGCGGTCTTAATGGACGTTGATTCTGGACTGTACCGCGACTTCCGGTATCTACCACAGGGGAGCAGGCATCCCCATTTCAATATGAACCGTCAGACATGGAAACCCAGATCGGCCGCCCGGCCTTAGTCTGACGATCCACCCTTCACTTTCTTTCATTTCCCACGACCATGTATTCCTTTTTCATACATTAATCATGTAACTTCTCTATTATGTTGTATCATCTGACGAACGTTCTGTAAAAGCATTGGTATGGCGTTGCAGCGGCTGGTCGAGATGGTACGTTTGGGCTTGCTGTATTCTACCAAGGGGGCCTGGGCGGTTATTTGTGTGATATATAGTGATCTGTATGATCTGTAAATACTCCTCTTCGATGCTACTAATCCGAATGATATTGAAACAGCAAGATCGAACCAGATCATTATAGTACATTGCTCTATCTATTACCTTTCCTCTGCCCTTCTTCTCCCAGGATCTAATGTATTTCTCCGACTTAACCCATCTCCGCGAAGCATGGCATCCCCTTTACGGCCCAGGACTACCTCCAGCGCCTGCACAAGGGCAGTAGGGTCATACTTCATCCCCAAGGCAACCTCCTCACCATCCGGCCCCGGCGCCGTAATCTTCCGACCGTATAAACGGAGCGTCTCGATGCCCATTTCCGCCAGACGCTCGCGGTCGACCTGCGGCGTTCCCGGCCCATCTAGATGCAGAAGATGAGTGACGTAGGAGGAATACGGGGGAGAGGGTAAGTGAGCAGGCCGGCTACGGCTCTCCTCTCCTGCGCGTGTGATTGCCTCGACGAAATCGACCGCCGTGAAGGGCTGCGAGGGCGGGCCTGTTTCCCTGTCTAGGGAGCCATTGAGAATAAGAATTTTGTGGCGGGCCGGGCTGGTGGCGATGGCTTGGCCGACGCCGCGGAGGATGAGGGAGGGGACGAGGGATGTGTAGAGGGAGCCGATGCTGTAGATGATAGCCTGGGAGTCGCGGAGGGCCTCGAGGACGCGCGGGTTGGCCGGGGGCCGGATTTCCTGGCCGTAGGGGTTTATGTACCAGATGCGGGTGATGCGCGCGGGGAGGTCCTCGTTGGCTGATTTGCTGAACTGGATGTTTTTGTTGCGGAGGGTGGGGAGGGAGCCGGGGAGGTGGTCACCCTCGTAGGAGGCGGCGTCCGAGGCGTCGGAGGGTTCTGTGTCCTCGAGGTCGGAGACGCCGTCGGCGAGGAGAAGGCTGGGTCGTCTGGAGCCTGGTCTGGGCTGGAGGGCGGTTGCCTCGCTTGGGTGGGA